GTCTCCATTGTAGTTCCTATTTTGGGTTTAGGGTGTAGGGGTTAGGGTTTAGTCTCCCATTGTAGTTCCTATTTTGGGTTAACCAAATTCATATTTTAGGATCCTAACCATAAAAAAGCGTGAACCAAAAAAATGAATTACAATGGAGACTGTACGTATGGCACTAAACTCTAAACCCTAAACCCTAAACCCTAAACCCCTAAACCCTAAACCCTCCATCCGGCGTCGAAGACAGAAATAGCCACCAAGATTCTTCCTAAGGGGTTCTCTAGAATAGTCAAACCCCAATCGGGGCCACTGTTTTTTGAGAACCCTAAACCCTACACCCTGAACCCTAAACCCTAAACCCTACACCCTGAACCCTAAACCCTAAACCCTAAACCCTAAACCCTAAACCCCCCACTTTTTTTGAGGGCTTGCAGGGCTCAGTTCCTCGAAGTCGAGGGAGCCGTTGGAGTCGCGATCCGCCAGGGTCATCTTGGCATTGCCCGAGTCACCCCGGTAGACCTGCAAATGGATGATGGGTTTAGGGTTTAGGGGTTTTGGGTTTAGGGGTTTAGGGTTTAGGGTTTAGAGTTTAGGGTTTAGGGGTTTAGGGTTTAGGGTTTAGGGTTCGGGTGTACCTATAGTCTCCTTTGTAGCTCCTTTTTTGGGGATACCTTGTGAAGTCCTTAATATATAATTGGTTAAACCAAAAAAAGATCTACAATGGAGACTATGGGTAAGATTCAGGATGTCGGGGTTAGGGTAAAGGTTTGGGGCGCATACTCGGGTAGGCTAGAAGATGCAAGATGTTGCAGTCTTGGCTAGTGGCAGAGGAAGGTTGAAGGCTAATTTGTGAGCCTGTCTGCTTATCTCTAGTGCAGAAGCCTGAATAAGCGCTCAAAATATCCCTGTATCGTCCCTGTGCAATTGCAGAAAAGGGAACTCTTAAAAGGAACCCTATTTTAATGATTTAGGCGAACCCTATTTTAATGATTTAGGCATGTACCTTACTTCGAGAAGGTTTGTCGGGCTTGCTTATTCCGGTCTGTGCACCTCCGCTCCTCTTGTATGGATCCCGATATATTTGATAGGATTAAGGGTTTTTTCAATCAGGCTCCTGCATTCTGCTGTAAATCAATAAGGAGTTTGCTTATCAGCTGGATGGCCACTCCACTTACTGCAGGCTCTAACCCGTTGCCTGTCCATCCTCATAGTGGAGCCGCATCTCGATCGCTATGAACTGCTCCTTCAGGGTTTAGGGTTAGGGTTTAGGGTGTAGGGTTTAGGAAATCGGATCTAGGGTTGTTCTTTAGGGCTTGGGGCTTGGAGGATTGACGGCTTACGGACCCAACAACCCCTTAAGTAGAGAATAAGATACCAAAGAGGAAGTCCCCCATATTCTCTAACAGATATAGCTTAATCGAGGGTTTCAGCCACTGCATGTTCTGTGACTAGAAACCCTGAACCCTAAACCCTAAACCCTAAACCCCAAACCGTGGTCGAGGGTTTCAGCCTCTGCATGTTGTGGGATGCAAGGTACAGAACCCTTACTTAGAGGCCTAGAGGACTTAGTGAGTAGGTCAAAAGTAGGGTGATAAAGAAGGTATCTCTATTTAGGTTAGTTATAACTCTACCTATAACCTACTTACAAAGTCCCCTGGGCCTCCAAGTGGAGAAACCGGAAACCCCCTAGCCCCAGCCTGCACCCTCGGAACCCCAACCAACCCCGCAGTTCAGGGTTCGGCGTTTAAGGGCTGTGGGTGTAATTTAGGGTTTCGGGTTTAGGGTTTTAGGGTTTAGGGTTTAGGGTTTAGGGTTTGGGGTTTGGGGTTTGGGGTTTGGGGTTTGGGGTTTGGGGTTACATTTCAGTTACACCATGCCTTGAAACACACCCCAAGATGCACACAGCATGACAGTAAGCAGATAGCTACCATCGTCAAGAAAAGATCCACACACAGCCTTCCGTAACCTTGTTGTAGCGCCCTGTGTCAAAACCCCAAACCGAAAAGAGAGAAACTCTGGCCTAAACCCTCAAGTGTAGGGGCCTTAATAATTAGAATAGGGTTGTGGGGCCCAGTATACTATTCTTTTCTAAGGACCCCTGAGGAAAAATGTCGGTAACTACCCTAAACCCTAAACGCTAAAGATTTCCCGACTGAGTCGACCCGCGCTCCCGGCTCAGCAGACCCGACTCATCCAAGTCGTAGGCGCGAAAGAGCTGGCCTGTCAAAATCGGAACGGTAGGTTTAGGATTTAGGGTTTAGGGCTTAGGGTTACGGTTGTATAAGGGCTACTATAAAGGTTTAGGGTTTAGGGCTCTTAATAATTAGAATAGGGTTTTGGAGTATATTATACGATAATTACGATAAGGAACCCCCCCAAAAAAACCAATAGTATAGGTAATTGCTTAGGCCCCTACAATAGGTTTAGCATTTAGAGCTTAGGGTCTTAACAAGTAGAATAGGGTTCTGGTGTATATTCTACTACACTTGGCCCCTAAATTAGCGGAAATCTGGGGTTCACGGCTTTCAGCGACGAGGATTCTCAACATTCATTAGGGTTTAGGGTTTAGGGTTTAGACTTGTCCCACAACCGTCTAGACTTACCCACAGCTTGGGAGAACTCCTAGGAGGTTTAGGGTTTGTTATCAGGGAGTAGTACTACCAATTCTGCAGACTTCTATAATACTACATGTCTCGGGATCACATTATGGCCCCCTTTCCGAGTCATATATGGTTTCCCTGGAATCCCCAAATCTCGAAACCCTGAACCCCTAAACCCTAAATCCCAGATAAGCCCTAAACCCTAAATTGCATCAGCTTCCTTCCTGTGGAGAATGCTAGGTTTCTGTCCATCACCAATCGAACTGGGGGGATCCTAGAACAAGCCTTCGCGTCTCAGGAGGAGGAGGGCTTAAGGTTTCGGGGCTGAGTTCACAAGGGTTGGAATATAGGATTTGGAAGTTGACGCTTCAGGTGCAGAGACATAGAAGCTCGGCAGAAGGGCTTTTGCTGAAAGAGGTTCGGGGCTTGAAGTGGAGACGTTAAGGAAGATTCCATAAATCAAACGGTTAACATGCCAAACCTGAGGAAGATTCCGAAAAGTTGGAGCCACAAATTCTAGCTAACTCACGGAAGATAACTTTCATCAATAGCAGTTATCAGAGGAAAACTGCCAGAGACTGGCAAATAGCTAAGTAGGTGCTCACTAACAAAACAAGCTGACAACAGAAACACCGAATATAGGGGCCTAAACAATTACCAAGGTTCTTTTGGTGTTCGTAATTATAAATATGGTATACTGGGCCCCAANNCTAATTATTAAGGCCCCTTTTCTTAGACTTTCCATCCCAAGCCTAGGGCCACTTGAATCTCGTCAACCTCCTGGTCAGCCATGGCGCTGAGGAGAGCGACACGGCGTGCTCGGAAGGCTTGGTAGTTGCAGGTTCAGGGCTTCATCGGGTTAGGGCTTCTTGGGCTGCCGGCTTGTTCTTTAAGAACGCGGTGGGCTGCGGAGCGCGAAGGCAGACGTGCTGCATACCAAGGGCGCCACTCGAAGTCCACAATCGCCACCCGGACCCGTTGAAGCCATCCCTAGCAATACATCCCTTCCACGCTGCACAAGCTTAACTCGCGTCCACAGCTGGAACAGCTATACCAAAGTCAATCATGAAGATCCAGAAAGTCTGCATAGATCACCACTACGGCTACTACTACAACTACTTACTCTAATCACTACTGCTACTACTACCACGACTAC